AGATTGTTGGGGTTTCTTTCTTATATTGTAGGGTCTTTACTCTACAGTATAAAATGCCTTAAGGCAACTGTTTTTTGTTTAAAATTGTTTTTTTTTTTTAATGTACAAAATAAAATGTAATCAACTTTAATCAACTCTTCTCTCAAGTGTTTTTGTTTTGTCGCTGGTGTCACTGCCTCTCCGTCCGCCACTATTTGATAAGTGTTAACCTGATCGGCTTCAGATTGAATTGATCGGGGCCCTGGTAGCTCCACAGTTCAGCTTGAGGTGACTGGATGAGGGCTGGTCTCAGCACTGCAGTTCTTTGTTGTGTGGTGTGAAAATAAATGGCCAGCTCTTGTTCCCACTGATGCAAATTATGATTTCATGCAGTGAAGTCATAACAACAACCTTTTTATGTTTATTTAGGTTAACAGTCTAATCATATTCTGATTCACATAATAAAGTCACATAATAAAAAGGCATATAATTCTGTATTTAAGGTGTAATACACTGATTACAAATCATTTAGCTCATTAATGACTGTAGCTGTTGTATGTTCCCTGTCTCCTCCTAGACAAATGCATATGGTATATATGTTTATATGTAGTTTATATGGTTTTGGTTTTATATATGTATTTTTAGAAAATGAATTAGTTCACTTACAGGCTGCCACGGCTTACGCCGCAGAGCATTCTGGGTAGCTACTTCAAATGGGTTGCATCAGAATCCTGAACTGAAGAACTCAGAAGAAACTTCTAGCATCAGTTTTGGTCAACTTCACAGCACTGATGACAGATCCACACCGTGTGAACTCCTGTCCAGAGCTCTTACATTCAGTCAATTGGCTACAGCTGCCGTCTACAGCTTTCAATCTGGCTTCTACAAGTCCTGCTGAAAAACCAGTGTCCTTTTCTAGCTACAGCTTCCAATGACAGTGCTCATTGAGTCCACACTTTCAGTCTGATGACACTCTCTGCCAAAATGAGAAGCTTTCCAAGCAGATGCAAGAGGGGATTTGCTGACACCTGCTGACGTACTGCCAAAATGACATGATGACATAATGGCCTGCATCAGACGGTATCTGGAATTTGGTCTTTCAGGAAATCTGTCTGTCAGACCCTACAGAGGCTGCACAGTTAGTCCAGGGGTGGGCAATCTCAGTCCACGAGGGCCGGTGTCCCTGCAGGTTTTAGATGTGTCCTCTAACCAACACAGCTGATTTAATGGCTAAATTAGGTCCTGAAGTTCTCCAGAGGCCTGGTAA